TGTGATTTAACATTTTTGCTGTGTGCAAGTGGATGATTGGATTGTCTGACATTTGAAAATTTCTATTTATTACAGCTCTCAAGTTCACAAGCTGCTGTTTGCCTAGAGTACATGGGTAGATGTATCCTGTTTGTATTTCTAATGGAGTATTTCATCCTAATGGATAAAATTATACATGAAAATAACTTTAATCTTTTGTACAAGATCTAGACTGTCTGCTTGGCTTCTTTTTTTTTCCCATCTAGGTAGATGTTGTCTGTATGACCTTAAAAGAATCCTTATCTCATAAAGGAAAATGAATGCCTTTAGTCACATTACAAGGGAAAATGGTTCTGTTTCCTTGATTGTACTCGACACAACATCTTTGAAATTAATCTTGAGAAGTTCTCTGGTTGATCTGGCTTTTTCTAGGTCACTGAACTATATTTCCAAAGTGTTTATACAATCTATTGGAATCAATAAACAATTTAAACTGATGTAACTGTAGAATGTTTGCAAGTCCTAGGGAAAATTGAAAGTATGACAAAGAATACAGCTGTAGGAGTTTATTTTGTTTATCAGGACAAACAGTCACTGAAATGAAATTTCTTTCTTTTCAACATTGCAATATGATAGTGACACCTTAATCACGTAAATAAGTAGCTAGTAATTTTTAAAACTCATTATTGGTGATTTTGGGCAAATGGAATCCCTTTATTTATACTTTAAGAAGCTATGCTTTAAAGCCTATTGTATAAAATATTTCCAATAGGAGAGTTAGAATATCATAAAAAGGTTTAACCTCAGATTATGGTTGTTACATTTCAGGCATGGTTTTATTTTTGTTTGAGTTTTGATTGGTGTAAATGTTAACATTATGACTTTAAATATGGATTAGACTCTGTAGTTATTACTAAAATTAGGCAATAAAAATACTAGGAAAACTAATTAAAAAGAGGCTGATACTGTTTTTAATTACAGTTAAGGTTTGGGGGTTTTAAAATTTTTTTGGTAAATTAAGTTTGAGGCATGTGTGAGTGGCTAACATTTCTTATACCATAGCGCACACTAGTGGATTGATCAATAAAATCACCTGAAGAAAGAAACCTAATAGTTCTTGAATTAAGTACTTAAATCTTCTTCTCCTTCTTGTAGCCATAGTAATGTACTTTCTAAATTAATACAATAGCAAGCTGGATTTCCTTTTTTCCAAAAGTAAATACATTTATCTCCACGGATATTTGTAAATTTAAGACTAATAACAGGGATCTGAAATCTTACATACAAATTTCATGAAATTTATTTCCCAAAGGCAATCTGTTTCAACCTCTCAGTGCCAGCAACCTGGCTGTTGGAAGAACAGCAGCTGTGTATAAATAAGAGAAAATGCCATGACTTCATGGGTCTGTCTTTTATTTGTCAAATGGAAAATTACTCTTACTGCATCTAGGATTCACCTTCTTAAACATACATTTCAGAGGTTGTTTACTATTAGTAAATGTTTGTAAATGCTAGTGGGAAGTCATAAGATGATAGTACCACTTCCACTCCTTTTCTTTACCTCTCTTCTTCTTTTTCTCTTTTTTTAAAAAGAGTTTTTTCACTGCAAGTGATAGAGCACATGCATTGTAATGCAGTACATCAAACTGGATTTGACTGTGTTAGGGAAATCAATGCTCAAGGGACTTAAGACTTCTGTTTCTTTAAAGGCAGTGCTTTCCTCCCCTACCAAAATTCACAAACCATTTTGCTTTCTCTTAGCAAAAAATTTGTGTGAGATCTTTCAGTGCAACAGATTGGTAGATTCTGGTATGCAAAAGAATTGAGCAGTATGAATTTGTCATACATATTGTTGGGTTTGAAATTAATTGTAAATGTTCAGGATGCTAATATGAATGTTATAGCTGGCTTTGTGAAAATTCTTGCCTGTAATGATCCAAAGATAAACAATGTTAGATGTCATTAGAAGTATGGAAAATACATCCCCCTATAGATTATACAATTTGTCTTTCCAATACTGTGTCATTTCTTGGCACCCTTTATTGAAAAAAAATAGAAGCATTCAGAAATAGACAGTTTGATTTAAGGAAACTCATAAATAGGCTGAAAATATTTGGACTCTTTAGAACAGAGAGAGATATTTCAGAAAGGTAAGCAATAATAAGTGAGTCCAAATAAGTTGATTAGATACAAGAAAATAGAAGAAAGTTACTCAAAAGCAGAGAACTGGTCACTTTCTCTTTATATGTCGATCTCTCTCTGGTAATAGGAGGAATGATCCCAAAGATTGCCAAGTGCTCCCAGCACTGCCTGTAACCTTCAGGGCAGCCTGGCACTTCCATTTTCAGGGTCCTGCTTCCGTTAATTTTAATGTTGCCAAGTTACTTGTTTTGGACTGAAGCTTTCTATGTGTACTTGCTTTGTTCTTTTTGGAAGGAGCAGTACAGTTCTTTAGCTGTATTGAAATTTCTGGAGGTTTGATGAAGGTAAACTAAGCCAGGCACAATCAGATTGGGGATTTCAGAGTGTGGCAGAGTGTGGCAGCCCAGTACTGCTGTTGGCTGTTGTTCCATTAGCTCAAATTGCAGGGGTATAGCTTGCCAGCTCACAGCTTGTCTAGTGACCTGTGTTCATATTAGCACGATACCACATCATGAGTTTTTATTTTCTTGGTGCAAAATCAGGTTCTCAGACGTTAGGAAATAATGAAATGAAGGTGCACAATCTTGATTTGGTGCCCTGTTTGTATACATTGTAATAAGATTGTGTAAGTAAACATTTCATAAATTTCCCCAATAATTCTTTCTTTATGCTGATTTTTTTAATACGTTTTTGAGTGTACTAACATGTGGAGGTTGGTGTGTTAATTATGTTATTCTTAAAATATTAGTTGCCTCCCTTAATAGTCTGAGAATAGCTATTAATATGAAATTTCTGCCAGCTTCTGAACTTACTGAGAAGGATGAGGTGGTGTTGGTTTGGGTTTTTTTTTTTAGTAAAGTGGAGAAAAATGTGCTGCCAAACATAGAAGGGTAAAATCCAAAAGTAGCTGTTGGTTTGAAGTCACCCATATCAAGCAAGCTACCTCTTTTTTTAATGTAAAAAAGGCAACTTAAAATGCAGTTCCATCTTATGAAATAAAGATGGTGAATTTGCTGGTTTTTGACTCCATGGGCTTTCCAATTTGCATGTATGGGGGTTATCTTCCTGTTGATTTATTCCAGTGAGAAATATTTCACATGTGTAATAATTCCTTTAAAAAGAGAAAAATGAAACCTGATCACTGGGAATAGAATAATTGTAAAGCTTTTCTATCCTGTAGGGACAATACAAACATTACAGAAATATTACTCAAGCTACAAAATCATCAACATTTTCTATGTTTCACATCTTCTATTGGTATCTTGGATGCATACTGTTTATGTGCTGCTTTGAAGTGTTTCTTTACTTCTACTCCAGAGGAGAAAAAGAATCAAATTGAAACATTGTGTATGTTCCAAATAGAAGGAAGTAATGCCTGCTTTATAATTTTAAGAAAAAAATAAATCCGAGTCAAAAGTATGTTTGAGCTTTTCAACAAGAAAATATTTCTTCTGTTTGTTTTTGCTGTTCCTCTTGCAGATTTAGCTCTGGTTGGCCTTCACCAGCAAATGGAGATGAGATCCATAAAAGAGTGAAAAATATTTTAAGGACACACAGTGCTAGACAGCGCCTAATATTTGTAAGTTTGACTGCAAGCTAAATCCTTTCTTTTCTCTAAGATGACTGAGTAAGAGAACTGTGCCTACAGTCTTGGATTTATTATAATGTTGTCCTTTGAGGCAGCCTTGATTGTAGAAATGTGGATTCAGTATATAAGCTGAACTGTTTCACACTGATTTCAGTAGCCTCCTTATGTGTAGCCTTTACGGACAGCTGGTACAGGTAACCTTCTCATAGGGTATTGAGGACAATTATGGGGTTTTTTTATATCTCATCTTCCGCTTCCAATTTAAGGAAAAAATATGTTACAGATCTGTAGAACATCAAGGCTTAACACATTGTGCAGCTGCACATCAGCAGCTGCTTGTGTCCAGCTGTTTGTAGAGCTAATATTATTCTTCAGATGTGTGCTTTTTTACCTTAATTAACTGGCTTTCAATGAACAGAGCTCTTTATCTAATGAGATTATGCCCAGGATCAGAGTATTTTGTCCTGGAGTCTGATGGAATTTTGAAGTGTGGTTTTAGACAGATAAAAATTGTTGCTACTGCAACAATTGTTGCTATTGCAACTGGATTTTGAGAAACCCAGTTGTGGCACAGGATCTCCCTGGCCAAAGCATTGTACAGACTGAATAACAAGGCTGTTCATCTACAAAGAATTTATGGTCTTAAGGGTGTGGTGAGGTAAAAGAAAGGGAAGGTAAAAGGATGTAAGGATGAGAGGCAAGATTAGGAGCTCTGATGATATTATTGTTTTTGTCTGACAATCTGACACACAAATGTTACTGATCGGTTAGAAGAGACATGAGTCTCTCGAAGTGGAGAAAGCCATCTTCTTTGCTTCAGTTTCTCCTCTTAGGAAAAGGAGTGTTGACAGAAATCTGCTTTTGAATATTGCTACAATTTTAAGTTACTACTGTCCCCAGCTGTCCACCTTTCCCCTCTAACGTAGTTTACTGTGTCAATGGTAAGTGTGATAAAGAGTATGGGAGCCCTGGCCTCCCCACCTCACACCAGCACAGAAACAGCAGGCGTAACACTAGTGTGCTGGCCTGTGAACTGTGCTGGCTGGGATGCAGTGACGCTACTGACTACAGTAAACCCATGGCAGAGGCCTGAGGCAGGTGGAAGTGAAGGTTGTTGTCTCAATTCACTGCTGCAAGATGTACTGAAGAACATCTGGTTTAGCTCTGAAGTCTTGATTTCTTTCATTATTTACGTCCCCAAATTTAGCCATCCTGGGCAGCTCCGTATGTTGCCTGCATGCTCTCTTAATCTAATTACTATCTCATTTCCGTTCAGTCTTCATTTTTAGCTTATTTGTTGTGCTTTTTGTTTTAAACTCGGGAAAAACTTTTCTCATGCATGCTAAGACTGATCTAGTTCATGCTGCACCTCTCTGACTTTGTATAAGAACGTTATGATCTTGTGAGCTGTTGCCTCTCAAGCAGAAGATGACCATCACATTTTTCAGTGTTTCAGACACTCCAAAATAGGTACAAATCATGTCAAACGCTTCTCTGATGTTTCAATGAACTTCACATAACAAACTGGATTTCATGACGGTCCAGCACCTCCATGTAATGAAAGTTTGCACAGCCTGAACTATCTCCAGTGGTCCTTGACTGCCTTCCTTGAACAGTAGACCATGACTTTACGATAAAAGATTTAGTAGTTTTTTAGGAGAGCTGAATGGCTGGTTATATGGTCTCTCCATACAGTCATGAAGACTATTAAATATAATAATGGGTAAAGGAGAATTTGATAATTTTCTTCGTATTTACTTATTTTACATATATAATTTAAAACATTCTACTCTAGAATGACTTACACATATGCTGGTATTCACTTGTTAATGCATTATTGCACAAATGCACACAGTTGCAAGCATGATGTTAAGATTCTTGAAGCATGGTGCTTTCTTTTGACTTTTGTTAGCACACCTTGTCATTTCCACTATCAAACACTTTCTGAATACTCACAGAGATTAATAATCAGAGATGATGCTTTTCTGTTTCCTACTGGAAAACCTCATATTTCTGCCCTTAAAAATCCAAATAGCAGGGTATTGGGTAAGATTTTTTTGAGTCCTTAATTACCAACTTGGTCAGAACAGTGCTGGAAAAGGACCATTATTCTCACTCCGTTTGCTTCTACTGAGCAAAAGCAATGGGAGGATGTTGCAGAGAAGTCTCACAGAGTTTGATAATCATGTACATCTAACTTGTGAAAGCTGTGCTAACAGCAGCTGACCTGCTTACAAAAAAAAAAAAAAAATCAGGTCTACTTGCAGTGAATACTGTAAAATACACCGGGATTGGTTGTGCTTCCCCAGATGGCCCAAAATCTAGGCTGCATTGTGAGGCAGTGGATGGATGAGGTAAATGGGTCATCTGGAAAGTGAGGAAATAGTAAAGCAAGTGCACTGGCAGCGTGGTGATTAGATTCTGGCTCCAGTCTGGATCCTCTTCCAAACTTTGAAAAGTTAAAAAGTATCTTACTCTGTTTCGTTCCAAAGAGCCTGGTGCTAAATAACAATTCCCAGAAGCATCCAGCTGTGTTTTCCAAAATTTTGTTTCCATAGTGCTCCATAAAAATAGTGTGACTGGAGCTCTGCTGCAGATTCCTCAGGGTGTCCACTGTAGCTGCTGTGACATTCTGACAGTATTGTGATGTTTCCATCTTTTTTTGCTTTCCAGAACATAATTTGCCTCCGGCAGATGCTGCAGAGTTTTATTTACCACTGTACCCCATTTCCTCTTCAGTGCTTTGCAGTCTGTGACTGCTGAAGGAAGAGAGTTTTCCTGTTTACAAACACACTTATTACCTTGTATTTCACCACAATAAATGGTGAGGTTTTTCCTCATCCATATGCCTGCCGCTCAGCTTGTTCTGCATCTTATTGCCCTCTACTGCTATATTTATTGTTGTTTCTCACAGTTTTGTGTTACCAGCAAGCATGATTATTTTTACTGCACAGTCTTTTTTCTAGTTATTTCTTCTGTAGCATGAAAGATTATTTTGTTTACTAAGCCTTACAGCAATTGGCTTCTGCTAAAAGCATCACTTCATATCGCCTCTTAAGTAGTGTCTTTGCTCTTTAGAGTAGAGTGAATGTGGTTGTGTGTGGTGGAATTTCTACTATCCTGTCTCAGGTGACCAAGTGGCTCCCTTCACATGAGGTGTTTTGTTTCTTACTTACCAAAGAGGGCAAATATGGGTTAATTAATGTCTAGATAACATTTGGAAGGTAAGACTGCTTTCTAACGACTCCTAAGAATACCACTGAATGGTCATTAAGTGTACCATAGATTTTTTTTTAAAGTTGGGTAAACATATTCTCAACCCTGTATGTGGAATAGAAGTATTCAAATGGTTAGAATTCTTCTGTCTGGTAATAAACATTAAATGGATAATGATAGCTCATTATAAAAGCTAACAAATAGTAAGTTTGAAGTTGTTTTTTCCCTCTTGCAAGAAACAAAAGTAAGGCAGTGAGCAGTAGGTTTCATAGCATTAACCAATGTGTTTGTTGAGGGTTATTGAAGCTTGTGCTGTCTGCGTAGTTCTTTAGATCTACACTGTCTAGAAATTCTTTCCAGTTTATTACTTGAAAATTATTAGCTGACTTGTACTGAACTTAATTAAAAGTGTTCATAAATGGCATTTGGCTCATTACACTTTGTCCCTTTCTCCCCCAAGAAATGTAAGCACTTTAATAGTCTTCTACTAAATGGAAAGAAAGTATTTTTGAAATGGGATCATTGTAATCAGAAACCAACCTAATGAGAATTTGATTTCTGGTTTTTTAGGATGAGAGTAACACATCAAAAGGAGACTTGACTAAGACAAGAGAATCTTCACATAAAGTGCCCTTATCCATGAGTGAATTGCAGAGCAGGTATGGAGTTTTTCTCTGACCAAGACAGAACAGTAATAGTCATGACATTGCCCTTTAAATTTAGCTAAAAATGTCTCTTTCTATTTTGAGCTATGTCATATATTGCACTGGGAAAAGCCTTCTGTAGGAGTTGGTCCTACCAAGCTTTTTCACCTAAAAGCAGAGTATAGTCTAGTGCATTCTAGTCTCTAGCCAGTATAATCTTCGTAAAACACTGATTTTGGAACTAGACTTGGCCATAGAAATGATCCTTTGGGAGTTGGTTTTGGATTTTATCAACTAGAGAGCAAATGTCACTTTAAAAATAACCAATTCATTATTTTTTCTTAAAACTATGGAAGTACAAAAATAAATTGAAGTTTGTTTAATTATATGATTTTGGGCTGTTTTGTTGAGGTTTGGTTTTTTTGGTTGTTGGTTGGTTGGTTTTTTTTCCCCCAAAACACATATTTGGAAAAGAGCAGTATCTTAAAAAATACAGCAAATATATATAATATGGTCTAGTGATTCAGCATGCCATATTTCAGAAGACAGCTTGAAAACCTGAGATCTTGAAAACCTGCTTTATGTAGGTTAATTATTCTGTGTACTTCTCACATATATGACTGGGTTTCATTCAAATATTTTACTTAAAAGACACCAATTGAATTGATTTTGACAACTTCTGTAGTAGGTTATCAATATTGATGTTCTCTATGTATGCACACTATTTTGTAGAACATTTTGGGTACTTGTTGGAGGAAAGGTACTAAGTAAAGTAAAACATTTTTTGGGTTGTATGGCTTTTCTGGTTTTCTTTATACTAAGACAGAAGTCCTAGAACTGTGGTGCTAAATTCAAGAGGTCTTGGCATTAGGAAAAGAAAAAGCTTTATTTTGATAATTAAATTTGATGCAATATTTTGTAACAATGATTCACAAATCACCATTGTATACCACTGAAAGGAGGTATCATAGTGAACTTCTACTTGCAATTAGTAAGCTCTAAAAAGTTCATTTATGATTTGTTGGCTTTTAAAAAAAAAATCTGTTTCTCTATATACACCTCTGCACTAGTTAGTCTTAGATTTTCACGTTGTATGTGAAGTCACTACTAAAGTTGTTAGTATTTCTATACTTGTGCTCACTGTGGTATTCTGCGTGTAGCCTTTTTGCTCCTTTATCCTTTGTCCTGACAGCTGCTGCAGTTAAATTGTGTATGTTGTGTTAGTGAGAGAGAAAGCAGAATACCTTATTTTGAGGCTTTGATGCTGCAACTGCGGATAATGAAAAAAGAAGAAACAAATCCTAGTACTGCAGAATCCAGAAGTGATGTGATATGAAATGTGGCACTCAACTTGGGAAAGGACTGCTCCTTGGGTTTAGAGGCTGGCAGCACTAGTCCCCTTCACCTGAAGGGTGAGACATAAAAGGACTCGAGGACAGTCTGGTTACTGAGTGTTTGCCATAGTGCTCATGAACAGGATACAAGGACAAAGACAGAGTTCATAGAAGGACATGGTACTGTCAACCAAATGTTGGCAGTAAAGTAGATGATTGAAAACCACTGGGAGTAAGGAAAAGGTCCGTGTTTTGTGAAATATTTAGTATATGATTCACTCAGAAAAGAACTTCTGGGACTCTTAAAGGAGATGTATGAGGGAACAAAAGCATATGACAGGTATTTCAGAGCAGGGATTTGCGTGCAGAAATCCTGCTGTTAATATGATTTGTGAGTGTAATTCCCAGATTGCTTAACTCAGGTTGTCAGCTGGTTTCCAGTTCAGACAGGAGAGGGACTCTTCCTTAGCTTGGCTGTATCTTTGTCCACACCAGTGCTAAGTAGGACTGGCTAATAATGGAAATAGATACACAGACCCTGCTCCCTCCAAACGAAGGAAGGGAGTATGAAGCTTATGTCTTAAGTCTTTGTCAGTACCAGAATAAGGAACTCATGAGAGTTACTATTGGTTTTTGAGTCTTTACTACAGTTAAAGTTGGTTGGATTTTGAACTTTTGGTAGAAGAAAAGGCAAGCACAAGGCTGACTGCAGGAAATGGATTCCAAGGAAAAGAGTGTCAGAGCTGTTTGATGTATGTGTACTAGTGTCGCTCCCAGTGTAGTGCTTATTTGTTGTCCTGAAAATTCTCCATCAGGAGTGAGGTAACACAAGCTGCAGAAAGGAGGAGGTGAAACTTCAGTTGTTGATGGGTCCCCAGGGTATTGACTTGTCTACATTTAGCACAGGCCTGTGTAACATTTTTAGTGATTTTGCTGTTTGGTAGGTTGTTTTTTTGTGTCCAAACTTAAAAGCACAGTTCACTCTCTCCGGGATGATAAAGAGGTTTAAGTTTCCTTCATGCTGTTGACAGACTTTAAATGGTGCAGCTTTTTTGAAAAAGTGTGAAGGTGGCCTTCCTCTCTTTTTAGTATTGAAGCCACATGAAGATCTTCTTGTTGCTGTTTTAAGTCGTGTATATTGGCATCACCAATTTTAAAATATTTGAATGTAAGAAATCTAAAAGCAAAAACTATTCCTTCTCTAGTTTTCCATGGGACAGTAGAAGTTTAGAAATGTTAATTTAGAAAATGGATTCTACATCTTCCTCTTCTTCCCCTACCATTTTCCTTTCTTAAAGTGAAAACCTTGTGTTTTGATGCAGCTAGCTGGAACTATATTTGTAAGACCTTTGTCATAAAGTTTCTTTCAATTTTGTCACAGATGTTTACTGATATTCCCTTGAGGACAAAGTTTTAAGTACTGGTTTGACCATAGTAGATTAATAAATTATATGTATATAAAATAATGTAAAACTTCCCTGTGAAATCAATTTCCTAAGTGAGGATGGAAACGTAGGTAAGCTTCACATTTCCAGTTTTATTTCCCATACTGAGAACATTCATGAAAGGCTGAAGATAACTCAGTCCTAATTTTTAAGTGTCTTACGTGCCTAAATCTCTGAGCAGATGTGAAAAATGTCACCTTAGTAGTAATTTTTTTGCTTATGATTTTTGAGCTGCTTGTTCCGTGCTTTATTACAGGAAAATGGCTCGTTTCATTATATGACACAAGCCTTTGTTTTGAAAGTTTCAAGAGAAGGCAAATAGTCATGGAGTTTAGATATACATACTTCAGATTTGTTAGTGTTTCATAATGATTTTCAGAGAATAAATTTCCCTTCATAGATCTAGGAAATAATTTCTTAAAGCAACTGAAATATGAGACTCTATTTGTGTTTAGTATTAAAACAGTGACACAGAAGATGGGGTGGGGAAGGGACACTCGATTGCTGCTGTATCATAATGTATTTGGTCAAATACTTAATCCAAGATGCTTCTGATAGAGCACTTTACAGCTGCAACCACATATTGAAATAGCTGCTTGTGGTTACATTTTGACCTTCAAAGGACACAAAAATCCTACTGTGTTGCTCTTGCATAGGCTTAGTGCCTACTCATGCTGCCTATCAAAATACAAGAAAAAATACTGTATGCTCTTTGAAAATTAATTCTCTTTCTATTTGGGAGGTATTATCAAGTGCACTCAGATAAGTGGGGGAGAATTTGTGTGATTGAATAACGTGGGGCTCCCATTTCTTAGAAGGAGCTGCAGTGCAGTTTTTGTTTCAATTTGTGAAAGGTGATCTCTGTTTAGCAGCTCTACGTTTGGATTTCTGCTGGTTTTGTGCTTCTGATTCATCTGTCTTGTCTTGGTTTGATCATTATTTCTTATCTTCTTTCTGTTGACAGTTCACGAGTGCAGAAGAACACAACTGATCACTTGGATAATGGTGAATATTGGTCTAGTCGTGCAGCTGTATACAAAGGGAAGCCTCACAGAGCAATCTTTGAAGAGAGTCTTGAGAAAATATATAGAAACATGTACCGAAAAGCTTCTGGCACCATTTCAGACTAAAAAAACGCACTCCTGATAGCAATTAACCTGGAAACGCACAGTACACACTGTTTATGTTCGTAATGAAACCTCTTTGTATGTAACAAATATTTGTACTCTATTTTTAACATGTAATTATGGTTGGGCAGGGTTTTGGAGAAATGGGGTTTTGGCCTGGGTTGTTAAAGAAAAACTATTAACATCCCCCTGTGTACCCCCCAAAAAAAAACCCCAACCAACCAGCAGCAACTAAGCCCTTCCACAGTTAATCAAGATGGTGTTGCTCCTTTGAGACTGTGAAAAGATGGTCATTTGAGGATTAACATGTCTGTTGGACATTCCAGTCTGACATCAACTCAGGTTTCAGCTGCAGCCAGTTCTTACTAAATAATTAAAGCTATTTAGTAGCATAAACAGAATTGGTTGAAGAAGCAATATGGCCTGGTGTTCAAGGAGGGGTTCTAAAGAAGAAGGTGAATGTGAGTGTTGATTTAAAAACATCCCATCTGGGACAAAGGGAATTGTTTTCTAGAAAATTGTCTTTGAATTGCTTCTTTCTGAGGAGGGCAGAAACTCTGATACTGACCTATAGACATTTATCAAAGCACTTTTAGTCACAAATTTTCTAATACTGTCAAATTCTAAAAGAAATCCACCCAGCCCAGCAGCCTTTGTATCAGAGGAAAGGTCATCTTCATACACCCTGTGCATTTGAAAGTATCCAGGTTCTCTTGAATGCAGCCATGACATTTGCCAATGTACTTGTAATTTTAAAAAATATGAATAAGAAAGGAGTGTGGAAGGGGAAAGACTGGAGATAGTCAGCAAGCTCCTCATATACCCCGTACAGGCCTTCTGAAGTTCCTGCATCACAATCCCACCTAATTTGGAGTCTGTCCTTCCCGGTCTGCTGGGATCCTGTTGGCAGAAATCACATCATTTTTGCTAAAGGCCACCAAATGTTCATCACCAGTTTGATGCTTTCCCCGGAGATGGAACCTTTTCAGCCTTGCATTGAACAGGTCCCACATTAGCAGACTGGGGCAAATTGCCCATGTATTGAGAAGTAGAATGTTTTAAAAGGGCAAGAGTGTCCATCTCCCGCTTCCTTTCAGAATGGGGGAAAAAAAGAAATGCCTGTTCTGGCTTGTTCCCTGACTGAGCGAACAGATTCAGTTACACCAATGCCATTTTACCTGTTTTGATTGGATAAAGGATACAGCTAGCAGTACAGATGGCAGAACATATGACTGTAACCTGCCAGCGTGCCTAGGTAAACAAAAAGTTGGTCTACTCTGCCTTCCATCCTTTAATGCTGAGACAACATAATTGATTTGAGAAAGCAGTTGGTGAGCAATTATGCTAGTGGGAAAGCATGTTGAAAGGCTGCGTGCTTCTGTTTCAGGAAAGGGGACTCTCAGAGGAAGTGTCTTGCATATAGACATTTCTATTCCTTGTAACTGTTCAACCAGTTGAAGTGGATTAACACTGATAACTTCCTGTCCCTGATGCCATTTAGCACATTAGTACTTTCAAAGGGCATTAGTTGCACAGTCTTACGCTGTGGATAAGTGTTGAGTCACTCTGAAGTAGTAGTACACTTTTTTTGCAGAAGTGAAAAGTAGAACTTAGGCAAGCTGTGCCACTGAAGGCATGGTGGCCACGGAGTATTATGCTACCGGTACCTGGTATTCATTCATTAGCCTGTTCCTGTGACCCCATATTAGTCCATAAAGGAAGAGTTTATTTTTCCTTGCTCTTCAGGAAATTAAGTATATTCAAATGAATCCTAATTAGGCAGGGCACATTCTGAGAAATACTTTCCAAGCTTTTGGTTTCAAATGGATCTACTAAAATCTGAAGGTTGCTGAGGTTTCCTGTATGTGTTAGAGCCCTAATTTTAGCGTTGTTCTTATGGTATCCCACAGTTTTCATTCAGTATTCTCTGCGCTTTCCCTCCCCAGTGTCATAGCTTAGTAAAAGTTACAGTCTTCAGAAGATTGGCTGCTCACCTTTGGGCCTATATGTGTCATAAAAGTACTGTTCCATTTTTCCTTCCTTGGCTATCCAGCAGATTTTAGTCTGTGTTTGCTCAATGTATAAGAAGGTCTGAATGCTGAGGCTTTTGGTTTTTTGTATGGCTGAGTAAGGACACAAGGTGTCATGAATTCAAGGAGGGGTTGTGGAAAGTTTGGAGGCCAAGGTGTCATGAACCCCAAGGAGGGGTTGAGGAAGGTTTGGAGGCCACTGTGAAAAAACAGGGCAATGTTTTTGAGGGGTCCAGAGGAATGCCTGGGGGATATCTGTTTAATTCCCCTAGCTAAAGAAAAGAAGCATATAGTAGTGTGACAACCTTCAGTTTTTCATCAAAGATGAAAAATTTTTCATAAAAGGTGAAAACTGGATGGGAGGAATAAAAAAAAAGGTGTTGTATATTGAATTTTGACTGGTATGAATATTCTCACTATAGCCTCCATGTGCAGCATAACAACAAATGAAGCAGATAGACTATGAGTGTCTTTGGCCCTGCTCCAGCTGTGCGGGGAGATGGTGTGTATAATGTCTTTCTGAATCAGCTGCTGCAGGATATGTGTTTCTCTCTTGGGTCAGAGTCATTCCACAGCTTATATGCTGTGATACAGCAAAGAGTGTTCTCTTCCAAGCACTGTGCTGGAAATACAGTTTGGTTAATGGAAAACTTTTTTCTGAAATGTGATATAAGACCTAAATTACTCTGATCTGTCCATAAAATCTGCAAGCCACTTCATTTTCAGAAGCGTTTGGCCCCTTCTCTGTTTGCTCAGCTCACCCTCCTATTAATATGCGTGCAGCTCAAGTGCACTGAGCATTGCTGCTCCTTTGCTGCTGCACTATGTGATAAGTATAGGTTCAGGCAGTGAACCAACATAGTAATAAACTGTAATTGTTTAGTGCACCTTGCCTTCTAATACAATTTAAATCCCTTCTATCAAATGCAAATTTCTAGGTTCCTGAGTGGAGCTTTAAATAGCATTTTCTATGCTCGTTCCTTATCTTTTGCCATCCACAAAGTGGTCTGTTAGTGACAATGGGATGGCATAATCCCACCCCCGTCATTTTACCTCCTAAAGGAAAGCTGCCTACTCAAATCTAGAAATAATGGGCTAGATTAAGAGCAAATTAGTGTTTTTCTGTAGAGTTTCTCTCTTTCTCTTAGCCTCCTCAAGTTATTATAACCCATGAGTATTCTCACCAAATGCTGTTTAGCGTCCAGTGTTGCTTGCAGTGTGCAATCAGTGCAATATTTTAATCACTTTAGTAAGTCACAGTCTGCTTCCTACTTGCTCCCTTCCCTCTTTCCAACAAATAACTTGGTATAATTTAGGATCTCGGGGTGACTTTAGACAAACTACCTGCCTCTGTTTAGTAGCAATGCAAATCCTGTGCTGAGTGGTAGTTGCTTTGGAATGACTCAGTCATTGACCTGTTGCGGATTAAAGGCAAGAATGTCAAACTCTTTAATGATTTGCCTTATCTAAGTTTTCAACTGGAAGAAGGGAAGCTTAAATTAGTCCACTGGGGACAAGAGGCATAGGGATGGCTACAGTAACGGGAACAGGTAGGAGCAGCATTGTAAGATAGATGGGCAGCAGTGTTTATACCCCAAATCTGAGCAGTTTGATGAGGGCTGTTCTTTAGATCGTGCATCATGTTTGAATTTTACTATTACTTAAGAGGCTGCCAAAATGATGAGGAGAGAAAGAAATCTGTCTATAGGTGTTGGAAATTGGGGTTTTTGGGGGGTAAAATATCAGAACATTTATCTCTACTCAGTATTAAATAGTCTGTTCCAAACTCTTTCTCATTGTTACCTCAGCTGTAAAATGGGGAGTTTGTGCTCTGTGGAAGCTTAATTAAATGACTGTGAAGTGCTTTGGGATCCTGAGGTGAATGTTACAGAAATTATTTAGTGGAAGCCTGGCTGAAAAGTCCCGTCTCATCTCCACGTTACTAAAAAGGCTTTATTTTAATTTTCCCAGGTTTATTGTGTTTTAATCAGGCATTTATTAAGAAAGTCTTAATCTTATCAAGATAGAAATCTATTAAATCTAAGAGATGGCTGAAGAAGATAATTAACTACTTTACTACGTGTGCTTTTAAGAGCTAATCTTTACAGTTGGTACCCTACTCAACTTCTGTCTCCTGCATGATCCAGGTTCATCATACTCATACTGATTGCTCTCATTATATATTTTTTTTAATATTAATTATTTTTTCATCATCCTGATGTCATAGTGCTTTCTGCTATGTGTATTAATCAGCACTATTAACATCTGTCATGTCATTTGTTCTCATCCTCTCCTCAGGAGCAAGGGATGCAGTGGTGTGTGCAACTTGACAGTGGAAAAGTTTGTGTGGTGTGCTGTAGGTTTGTCAGAGAAAGTAAGCTGGAAGGAATCTCTGCCTTTTCAGTCCATGTGCAAGGAATAGCTTGTTATGTAATTCTGCCCTTCCTAATTTTTCAGCTTGAAAGTATTTTCTAAAACTGAACTATGCAACAAAATTCTTAGCCTTTTAGCAGTGGTCACTTAACTGTATAAATCTTGTGATGTGGAATGTCTGGGTCATAGGAAAGCCTACCATGATATTAATTACGTCAGTGGTTACAGAGTGATCATTATCAGGCTATTGAGAGTATCTCAGGAGATTTGTTTAGTAGTCGAGGAATTTGGGGAAACTTTCAAATCCATGAAACTTAGCTTCTTGTTCCCAGTGAAAACAATTGAAGCTGAGAGGGAACAGCACTTTTGTGGATGATCTTAATGAGCTACTTCACTGACAGAAATGATGTCTGGTTTAGGTGATGGTCTCTGGTAGCAGCAGAGAATTGATCTGTGCTCAGTTCCTTTCCGTTTCAACAGATAAACCAGTGTTGTGGGAAGTGATCAAGAGCATCTGATATTCCTGTTTCTATTATGCAGTGAACTATTAAGCACAAGCCCCATTGATTGCATTGGTTTCTACTGCTTTGTCCATGGGATTCAAAGCATCAACCAAAACCCTTAAAAGATGAGGCTGTAGCTCCTTTTGTTAACAGTGTTGGCTTGCCAAAGACG